AGATAGACAGATAGATAGATAGACAGATAGATAGATAGATAGATAGATAGATAGATAGATAGATAGATAGATAGATAGATAGATAGATAGATAGATAGATGGATAGATAGATGGATAGATAGATGGATGGATAGATAGATAGATAGATAGATAGATAGATAGATAGATAGATAGATAGATAGATAGATAGATAGATAGATAGATAGATAGATAGATAGATAGATAGATAGATAGATAGATAGATAGATAGATAGATAGATAGATAGATAGATAGATAGATAGATAGATAGATAGATAGATAGATAGATAGATAGATAGATAGATAGATAGATAGATAGATAGATAGATAGATAGATAGAAAGATAGATAGATAGATAGATAGATAGATAGATAGATAGATAGATAGATAGATAGATAGATAGATACATAGATAGATAGATACATAGATAGATAGATAGATAGATAGATAGATAGATAGATAGATAGATAGATAGATAGATAGATAGATAGATAGATAGATAGATAGATAGATAGATAGATAGATAGATAGATAGATAGATAGATAGATAGATAGATAGGTCGTTGATGTTGGTGTGTATTGATGAATGGGTGTGGGATAGATGGACGGGTAGACAAATAGACGGAATGATGGATGGCTATACTCGTGGATGGATGGAAAGTATAATGGGTGGATGGGTTGGCCTATATGTGTGCCAGTTTATGAACAATGGTTTCAATGCACGATGCTGTCAGCTATGAAATAGATACAGTGAGGGTAATTGTTATTCAAAATATCAGTCGAACCGAGCACAGCACTATTAAAAACCAGAATGTAAGGGAGCAATGGAAAAATAGCTAGGGTGGATGGTGGGGTGAGTGGGCGAATAGGTGGTGTGATAGATGTTTGGGTAGATGAATGGATGGGTAAAGGATTCCTATGTTAGTGGATGAATGGAATTGCTAATATATAAAATCTGGTAAAACCAAGGATTTCGTGATAAGATGCTTCTCTTTTACTGTCAGTTATCAAACAGAGACAGTAAGGATGCTTTGTTATACAAAGTAATCAGTCGAGCCCACGCGTAAAACTGGTAACAACCAGAATGTAAAGGATCGATGGGAAGATAGATGGAAAATGGGCATGTGTGGTTGGTGGAGTGAATGATTGAGTGGTTCGTTGGATAGATGCGTGGGTAGATAAATTGATGGAATGATGTATGACTGTATTTGTTGATGAATGAAATGGTAGATGGATGGATGGATAGGCCTATATATTAAATGAGGTAAAAACATGGGTCTAGTAACACAGTGCTTCCCTCTTACTGTCAGCTATCAAATAGAGACAGTTAGGGTGATTTTTATACAAAGTATTAGTCGAGCCCAAGCGCAAAGCTAGTAACAACCAGAATGAAAGGGAGTGGTGGAAAAGCGCATTGAGTGAATGATGGGCTGAGTGAATGGTGGGATAAATGGTGTTGTAGATGAATGGGTGGGACGATGGCTATGTTCGCGGATAGATGCAATGGTAGATGGATGGATGGATCGGCCTATATGTATGCTAATATATTAAATCAGGTAAGAACAAGGGTCTCATGATGTGATGCTTCTCTCTTACTGTCATCAAGCCAGTGGAGACAGTAAGGATGATTGTTATTTATACCTGCGGCCAGCTCAAAGGAAATATTGTGCACTAATTTAAATTAAATGGCTCCAGCTATCTCAAATGCGTGGTCCTCGTGACAATAACATTTAGCTAACATGGTCATCATTGCCCACACAGGGCATCAGACAAGGCACCAGACAGGGCACCAGACAGGGCATCAGACAGAGCATTGGACAGGGCATCAGACAGGGCATCAGATAGGGTATCACACAGGGCATCACACAGGGAATCACACAGGGCATCACACAGGGCATCACACAGGGCATCAGACAAAGCATCAGACAGGGCACAGACAGGGCACCAGACAGGGCATCGGACAGGGCACCAGACAGGGCATCAGACAGGGCATCAGACAGGGCATCAGACAGAGCATCAGACAGGGCATCAGACAGGGCATCAGACAGGGCATCAGACAGGGCACAGACAGGGCACAGACAGGGCATCAGACAGGGCATCAGACAAGGCATCAGACAGAGCATCAGACGTGGCATCAGACAGGGCATCAGACAGGGCATCGGACAGGGCACCAGACAGGGCATTAGACAGGGCACCAGACAGGGCATCAGACAGGGCATCGGACAGGGCACAAGAGAGGGCATCAGACAGGGCATTAAACAGGGCACCAGACAGGGCATCAGACAGGGCATCAGACAGGGCATCGGACAGGGCACAAGAGAGGGCATCAGACAGGGCATCAAACAGGGCATCAGACAGGGCATCAGACATGATATCAGACAGGAGTAGACCACCCAGAGGAAGGACTGCAAAAAAATCAGAGACATTAAAAAGTACTTTATATCTGAGAACAGAAGGTCCCGTTCTAGAGTGGCTGGTTGGTTCTAATGTGGCTGGCTGGTTGGTTCCAGTGTTGGCTGGTTGGTTGGCTCCAATGTTGGCAGGTTGGTTCCAATGTTAGTTGGTTGTTTCCCATGTGGCTGGTTGGTTGGTTCCAATGTTCGCCGGCTGGTTCCAATGTGGCTGGCTGGCTGGTTCCAATGTTGGTTGGTTGGTTGGTTCTAGTGTGGCTGGTTGGTTGGTTCCAATGTTGGCTGGCTGGCTGGCTCCAATGTGGCTGGCTGGTTGGTTCCAATGTGGCTGGCTGGTTCAAATGTGGCTGGTTGGATGGTTCCAATGTGGCTGGTTGGTTCCAATGTTGGCTGGTTCCAATGTGGCTAGTTGGTTCCAATGTTGGCTGGCTGGTTGGCTCCAATGTGGCTGATTGGTTCCAATGTTGGTTGGTTGGTATCAGTGTGGCTGGTTGGTTGGTTCCAATGTTGGCTGGCTGGTTCTAATGTGTCTGGCTGGTTGGTTAAAATGTTAGCTAGCTGGTTTTCGGGTATGTTGGCTGGTTTGTTGGTTCCGACGTTGGTTGGTTGGCTCCGATGTTGGCTAGTTAGTTTGTGGGTGTGTTGGCTGGTTGATAATTTTGTTGGTTGTTGGCAAGTTGGTTTATTGGCATCTTCGTTGTTTATTGATAACCTGATTTGTTGGTTGCTTGCGTAATTGATTATTATGTCTATTCGTCGGTTAGCAAGTTGCAATGTTAAATATTTGGTTTGACTGGGGTTTCTGACTTATTCGTAGATCGTTTAATACGTTTCCTATAGTTGGCTGTGTGCATATGAGTGTGAAAGAGACATATAAGAGAGAGAGAGAGAGAGAGAGAGAGAGAGAGAGAGAGAGAGAGAGAGAGAGAGAGAGAGAAAAGCAACAGAAAAAAATGGAGGGGGGGGAGAGAGACAATCTGACACAGAGACAAAGTAAGAGCTACATAACAGACCCACACACACACACACAGGCAGAGAGAGACAGAGACAGAGAGACAGAAGGAGAAAGACAGAGAGAGACAGAGAAAGACAGAGAGATAGACTGAGAGAGACTGGGAGAGAAAGATAGAGAGTAGAGAGAGACAACGAGAGAGAGTAGAGAGAGACAGGGAGAGAGTAGAGAGAGACGGAGTAGAGAAAAAGACAGAGAGAGTAGATAGAGAAAGCGAAAGCGAGGGACAGAGAGAGAGACAGAGAGGAGAGAGAAACAGAGAGAGTAGAGAGAGACAGAAAGAGTAGAGAGAGACAGAGAGAATAGAGAGAGAAACAGAGAGAGACAGAAAGAGAGATAGAGAGTGGCAGAGAGAGACAGAGAGCGACAGAGAGAGAGTAGAGAGAGCAGAGAAAGAGCGAGAGTAGAGAGTGAGTAGAGAGAGAAAATATAGAGTCAGAGAGAAAGTAGAGAGAGACAGAGAGAGTAGAGAGAGATAGAAGAGAGAGAGAGTAAAGAGAGAGTAGAGAGGGAGTAGATGGAGAGTAGAGAGAGAGAGTAGAGAGAGTGGAGAGGGAGTAGAGAGAGTAGAGAGTGAGCATAAAAAAGAACAATTCAATTGGAGAGAGAGAGTAGAGAGAATGAGCATAATGATGGCAAAAAAGTAAATGAAATAAGAGAGAGATGAGAGAGAGAAAGAGTCAGTCACATAGACTCAGAAACAGATAGGCGGGACGACACGCGTTGTCATATACAAACACATACATGCACACACGCGCGCACACACACACACACACACAGTAGATAGAGAACATAAAGGTCGTAAAAAAAGACAATGAAAAAAGAGAGACCGAGATGTGGGAGATAGTCAGGAGAGAGTCAGAGTCAGACACAGAGATTCAGAACGACACATGTTGTCTAACACACACACACACACACACACACACACACACACACACACACACACAAACAAATTGCAAGTGAAGAAAACAGAGATGGACAGAAAGCAAATGATAGATCAGTTTCAACATTTGTTGTGGCGATAGCGTTTGGTTGATCGTTGAGATAAATGAAACAGAAAACGATTGACAATGATTTTATCTGTTTAATAGCTTCTCGGTGTTTGTGTGCATGTGCCTATATAATGTCTTTAGCAAAGATTCCCAAACGTTTGCAGCCTAGAACCCCCCCCCCCCCCCCCCCCCCCCCCCGTACAAATATTTTTTTTAACCACACGTATAGTGCGTCTGAAAATCTACCTGTAGTTCTCCAAAGATGGCAAATGTGGACACTTAAATAATCCCCATGAATTTAACACTATTAAACAAAAGTTTAAAAGGCACGAACAGTTAACTGACCTGAAATTAACTAACCCCCTCTATGTTACTTCGAAATTGCAACCGAAGTTGCTACCACCCACTGTATCGTCTCAATGCCCTCCCCCCATTTGCACACAAAAGTACTCCCGCCCACACCTAATCGCCCTAGTATCCCTCATTTGCACCCCTAGCTAGTTAAATCACTCCAACTATGGTTTAACGATTTGTAGCGTTATATATGATCTTCGCTTGTTAGTTTTTCACTCTGTTTCGTCAGGAATTCTGTAGAGTTGGGGAACAGAAACCATACATTATCGAGGTCAATACGTGAAACACATGTTATCACTTAAGAATATATTAGCCATACAAGCGTTTATCATCTATTTTGACCTGCTGAGCTCTTTCAAGAACCATTTTCTCGGGCAGAGCCCAGAGCTACTTCATGTTTCTTAGCTTTTTCAGTCGCAAGCACTTATCACTTTAACTTCTATTCCAAAGATATGGGCTTGCAATTAATAAATTCTTAATCCTGGAAGAGTTTAGTGAAGACGATTTGAAGCAGAAGTAATTCAACAAATACATATAACACTGGTTACTATAGCAACTGTCTGTGATAGAAATCAGCAAGGGTTATCATATTATCTTTAAAATTTACTGGGCACTTATAGTGAGTTGGTTGGTTCTAACAAAGTTAGATCTTTTTTCATTTATTCATTGTCCTGTTGGGTTATCATGTCACATAGGGTTGGCTGTCTCCATTATTTCTAACCCCTGCAGTCACTTTAATGCCGCGTATGGAATCGGAATGTCACATATAATTTACTGCTTAAAGAAACGACATCGTAGCACCCGCAGCAAGTATGGATGCTAACTGTTCCCGTAGCACACTGATTATAAACTGGTTATTTCTTCCTCTGACACGTAACACCCGCAGCAAGTATGGATGCTAACTGTTCCCGTAGCACACTGATTATAAACTGGTTATTTCTTCCTCTCACACGTAGCACCCGCAGCAAGTATGGATGCTAACTGTTCCCGTAGCACACTGATTATAAACTGGTATTTTCTTCCTCTCACACGTAACACCCGCAGCAAGCATGGATGCTAACTGTTCCCGTAGCACACTGATCATAAACTGGTTATTTCTTCCTCTGACACGTAACACCCGCAGCAAGCATGGATGCTAACTGTTCCCGTAGCACACTGATTATAAACTGGTTATTTCTTCCTCTGACACGTAACACCCGCAGCAAGCATGGATGCTAACTGTTCCCGTAGCACACTGATCATAAACTGGTTATTTCTTCCTCTGACACGTAACACCCTGGCCCGATCCACACCTAACTAAAAGCTCACACATCCTTGCACGTGTTATTTCGTCTAGCATCGTGTCTTCTGTTAGCGTTCGTTCATAAACTGAGTTAAGTCAAGAATTGACATCACAACACTCGGAGCATTCCCATGCGTACTACGCCCTCATCTTCAGCAGCCAAGGCAGAGTTCCACTAGATGGTACCGGTCAAAATATGGTTATGTGTCCGTCTTGCCCTCCCCTGAGTGTCGAGAGCCAGCCAGACCCTCCGGGTACACCCAGGTGCCTCATTCTCTCCAGGCCATAATAATCCTTTGCTCTCTATTGATTCCGTTGCATTTTAAAAAAGAACCTTGACCAAATCTTCCATGAAGTTCATAAACTGTCTTCAGAGTGTCTTCTTTGTCCAGAACGAGTCTTTCTGCAGCTATAGCTTTGTGGCCAGAAAATGAACTCTTTAATTTTCTGGCACTCTGGCATCTGTTCGTGACAGTATATCCAGAGTCGCAGTAACGGTGACGGGCTGATGCTTGTATTCACTGTTGCAGTAACAAGAGCTGGAGTCAGCCAGTGCTCAGCAATACACAGGTTTTACTTACTTCATCTCACAGATGTACCTGTAAGACAGTGTACAAGACATGTCCATCCACTGGTAGCTGTGTCCCTGGTCTATGGCCAAACAGTCTTCATCTGTGAGAACAAGGAGACAAAACTAAACTGCAAGCACTTACTGACCTACTTACTTAGTCGCCCTCTTCTACCCTTGGGGTGTAGAGGTTTGTCAGGGAAATCGTCAGACTTCTCTAACAGCAGTTTTTCAATGTTCCTTTTCAGTCCTGTGTCAGTCATAGACTGTCGGATGTTGTGTTCCCAGCTAACTCTGGGTGGCCCTGGTAGTTCCTTGGTTCTTGGCATATTCTCTCCTATTCTGCATACATACATGTCCAAACCATCGTAACTGTGACTGATCAACTCGAGTTGTCAGTCCCGGGTTTCGAGGCCATTACGTAGAGTCACGACACGACCTTTGTCCGTTATAGTCACTTGGACAACGTTTTTTCGATATCTCATCCCCGAGACCCGCGTTAAAGTAAATGTTTTTTTTTTGTGTGTGTGGGTCACACCGGTGGTCTTTACTTCCAGCATTATTACACCTCAACCACACCTTTCGCTGGGGTTGCTGGGGTTGGTTCTGCAACGTCCTGTAAAGGATACGCAACTAACCTAACCTTTCCAGACCTTCAGACCGGGAGAGAGACATACTGCCAGAAAGAAAGGCAGGCAGACAGATTGTCAGACAAACCGACATACATTGACAGACAGGTTGTCGGAAAGACAGACTCAATGTCAGCTTTAAAGATAGTCAGCCAGGCAGACATATTTTGAGACAGACAGGCAGAACAGCAGACAGCCAGATGGCCTGACAGACTGACAGACAGACATATTGCTAGACAGAATACCGAATAGACATACAAACATAGATATTTTCAGACAGACAAACAGGTAGACTGCCAAACAGATAGACAGACAGATTACCTGGGCCTGCCGGCTCAGTTCCGAACCATTTTTCATATTTTCCGAAAAGTCCTCCATTCGGAAGCCATTCCCAGGAACCTCGGTGGAGTCTCTCGGATCCGCCAGTCCAGGCAACTGTGACTGTCAACACATGAATACAGTTAGTATATTCGAAGTTTCTACACAGGAATACAATTATTTTCTTCAAAGTATTTGCACATGCATGCAATCAGTATATTCGTAGTATCTGCAAAGGAATGCTATCAGTATATTCGAAATATCCGCACAGAAATACAATTATTTTATTCGAAGTATCTGCACAGGAATGCAGTTATTTTATTCAAAGTATCATTACAGGAATGCAATCAGTATATTCGAAGTATCTTTACAGGAATGCAATCAGTATATTCGAAGTATCTTTACGGGAATACAATCAGTATATTCGAAGTAACTTTTACAGGAATACATTCAGTATATTCGAAGCATCTGCACAGGAATACCATCAGTATATTCGAAGCATCTGCACAGGAATACCATCAGTATATTCGAAGCATCTGCACAGGAATACCATCAGTATATTCGAAGCATCTGCACAGGAATACCATCAGTATATTCGAAGTATCAACACTACATTGCACCGCTTGCTTTTTACAAAAGACATCAACAATATATGCAAAGAAGCAGAGAGCGAAAACAAAATAATAATACCATAGAACTGCTATTTGCAGATGACCAAATATCAATAGCTGAAACAGAAGAGAGTTGACAGAATCATACTGACCAAGTCAATACTAAGTGTGAGAAATATAATATGAGGATAAGAAAACATTTAAAAGAAAGTGAATAACACATAAATAAAATAAACGAGCGAATTTAAATATCTAGGGTCATTTTTCACCTCAGATGGAAAAATAGATAGAGAAATTAACATAAGAAGCGCGAAAGCAAATCAGGTTATGAGACAATTGGCACTGCCTCTGACACATGAGAAGATACACTCTGTCAACCAAAACAAATCTCATCAAATCGTTTTTTTAGGCGACATTCTGCTACCAGTGCCAAACAAGGACCCTTACTACTACAAACTCGTAACAACAGAGATAAGATGTCTTAGAAGAGCTGCCGGTGTGACAAGAAGAGATAAAATCAAGATCGTAACAACAAAGATCAGAGGTCTCAGGGAAGCTGCTGGTGTGACAAGAAGAGATAAAATCAAGATCGTAACAACAGAGATCAGAGGTCTCAGGGGAGCTGCTGGTGTGACAAGAAGAGATAAAATCAAGATCGTAGCAACAGAGATGAGACGTCACAGGAGAGCTGCCGGTGTGACAAGAAGAGATAAACTGAAGATCGTAACAAAAGAGATGAGATGTCTCAGGGGAGCTGCCGGTGTGACAAAAAGGGATAAAAACAAGAATTAGGAAATTAGAAGCAGACTAGGACTAAAACGTGTGACACAATTCATTAAACAACAACACATGAGATGGTTTGGCCAACTGAGGAGAATGTCCTGATACCAGCTGTCACAGAGAGACACGTTGAAAAAATATAATGAACACGGAGCAAAGGGAAGACCACGCAACCTTAAAGAAAAGAATACAAACTTGTACAATGCATTGACAGAAGAGCACAAACGATCCAAACATCTCTCCCTCCCCCAGCCTCAACATCTCGCTGAGGTAAATGGTGGAAGAGAAGAACAAGAAGATGATTATTTCAGTTCTAACACATGTCAGTGACAGTGGGGGAAAGGTTAAATACATGAAACAAAAGTGAAATAATTTCGATTTCAAAGAAGAAAATAATAAAAATAAAATCAAGGTGAATTCAAAATTCGTGAAGAAGTAAGAGAAATGTCAAGGCAACCATTTGTGTCAATAAGTATAAGACACACTGGGCACACCCTGAGGTGAAACTGCCAGCGAACCACCACACAGACACTACAATAGGAAATAATGGGATTAATGAGACCAAGAGGCACAAAAAACACACCCTATAATGAACGTTGATGAGAGAGGCCAATGCTGCTGGACTGGTTTCCATCCCTAACATTGAACCAATGCACAGGGTAGAAGACGTGGAGGAACAGACTGCGAACCAGGTGTCACACATAAGGGTTCAACATGATAACAGAATCAATAAATGAGTTGTACCAGGTCAACTCCCATTAACATAGCTTTGCATCCTAATGCACCTAGAGCAGTGTGGGCAATCATGCGTGAAACAAACTGAAATGTATCAACCTGTTGCAGCCATACATATATATTCACATTCAGACGGTCACGCTACACGTCTTTCCTGTTTATATTCTTTAGCCACTTTCAGTTTTTACTTGGTGTTGCCAATGTGTCACTAGCTTTTAGTAACTGTGTACCCATTTTGAACGTATTTTGTGTGCGATTGGAAGTGTAGGTGGGCTGTTGTGTGTGAGTGTGAATATGTATGTGCATATGTGCACGCGCAGGCACGTGTGCAATGTGTGTGCTATAAATGTCCACCGCCACGATCCCGTCCTCAGACAAACCCATACCAAGAAAATCTACCACACCCCAGCTCGTCTATAAACTTGCTGGCTTGGTCACAAGAATGGTCAACGTGCAATATATTATTTCCAAAGTCCGCTGACAAACACTGTCTGCTTCTCTGTGAGTTTGTCTGCACCACGTGTCTCACTACCAGGATTACCGATTTAACGACAATCAGTGTCTTGTTCTCACTTTTTAGGTTACCACATTTTCCATGTGCAAATTTTTTCCAGTGTCTCTAACATATCTGCAATCTATTTTCTGCGTGGTCTACCTCTGGCTCTGTTACCATTCGTCGTCGTCGCGTTTACCAGCTGTAAACTCTGCCGGAAGGTTCTGGTTGCTCGTCCACCACTGAACTGCAGTCCTGCTCCAGAAGCCGAGTGTTGCGTGTGCATCGTTACGTCCAATGCGAAGTGTAACGAACACTGGAGGATTCGTGTAGAGGAAGATAAGTACAACCAAAACAATGTAAGAACTAGAAAATTATTGCTTACTTCGCCTGCCTTTCATTGAATTGACAAGGAATTCGTACTCCTTTGGCTCATTAATGTGTACCAGATGTGCTTCATCCAACTGGCAGTATTGCTGGACGAATGAATGAGACACACAAATTAATCAATCATTCACGTATGACCATATGCCCTAATTGTAACTTCCTCGTAAATCGAATAGGGTATTTCGCCTTGCCCTGTTAGTCTGCCATTAGCACACATAATTATTATTTTTTTTTTTTTTTGCTTTCCGTCCTTTTCAAGATGACATTTTTCGTTATTTGAAGCCATACTCTGGCTCTTGCCAGGGGCCGCAATATAGCCTGGCCATAAATATGACCTTAAGGCGGAACTCTGTTTTTTGGACCTCTCAACGGTGATCCTCATCCACACGGTGGCACTTTGCGTCATCGGGTGTTTATCGCTTGTGTGGTAGAAAGTCAGTCAGTCAGTCATTAGCACATATAATCTTGACAGTCTCTGTATCAGAACTTACGGTCTTGTGGGCCTGGCATTGAGACAGATATCTGTCTGTCTATTTATAGTTGACTGTCTGTCTGCGTGATTGCTGTCTATCTGTCTGTCTTTCAGGTGGCTAATAGATTTGTAGAAGAATCTAAGCCCTGTTTAAATGAGCGGTAATAACAAAAATTATGATGTTATGTGTTGTCTGTTGTCTTTATTATTATTATTGTTACTACGCACTGAACAGCAAATAAACCGATTAATGTATTTGAAACAAGGCGAAATGTAAAAGAAAATACTTGAAATGAGAACATCTCTGTATGGCTGTGGTGTGTATCTGTGGAGGGGAGGTTCTCTTGAAGGAGTCACGTCGCCCCATTCCACTGTTCCCAATTCTTTTAATAGGGGCAGGGGAAGGGATGAAAGAGGGGAGAAAAAAAAACACTTAAAGGGGTTGGGATGATGGTGTCCCCGAGATTAGTATTACTTGTAACTGTGAAAAGCTGGTGACTGTGTAAGTGATCGTGCCCTGTTCTATTCTAGCTTCAGCTTCAGGATTCCTCCTACCTGTGTGCCAAGCTTCAAGCTAATGATTTCTTATACCAGTGTGTCTAGCTTCAGCCTAGGAATTCCTCCTACAATGGTGCCTAGCTTCAAGCTCATGATTTCTCATACCAGTGTGCCTAGTTTCAGCTTCATGATTCCTCCTACCAGTGTGCCTAGCTTCAGCTTCAGGATTCCTCTTACCAGAGTGCCTAGCTTCAGCTTCAAGATTTCTCCCACCAGTGTGCCTAGCTTCAGCTTCATGATTCCTCCTACCAGTGTGCCTAGCTTCAGGATTCCTCTTACCAGTGTGCCTAGCTTCAGCTTCATGATTCCTCCTACCAGTGTGCCTAGCTTTAGCTTCATGATTTCTCCTACCAGTGTGCCTAGCTTCAGCTTCATGATTCCTCCTACCAGTGTGCCTAGCTTCAGCTTCATGATTCCTCCTACCAGTGTGCCTAGCTTTAGCTTCATGATTCCTCCTACCAGTGTGCCTAGCTTTAGCTTCATGATTCCTCCTACCAGTGTGCCTAGCTACAGCTTCATGATTCCTCCTACCAGTGTGCCTAGCTTCAGCTTCATGATTCCTCCTACCAGTGTGCCTAGCTTCAGCTTCATGATTACTCCTACCAGTGTGCCTAGCTTCAGCTTCATGATTCCTCCTACCAGTGTGACTAGCTTTAGCTTCATGATTCCTCCTACCAGTGTGCCTAGCTTTAGCTTCATGATTCCTCCTACCAGTGTGCCTAGCTTCAGCTTCATGATTCCTCCTACCAGTGTGCCTAGCTTCAGCTTCATGATTCCTCCTACCAGTGTGCCTAGCTTCAGCTTCATGATTCCTCCTACCAGTGTGCCTAGCTTCAGCTTCATGATTCCTCCTACCAGTGTGCCTAGCTTCAGCTTCAT